AAAATACAAATGTTATTTTAAAACAATTTCATGTGTTATTACAGAATACAAAAGTAAAAACACATATGTTATATCAGTATGCAAATTTCATACAATTCATATTCACACATTTCTTACATATTTCATGCCAAAAGTTATCAATTATTCATATCAGGATCATGCCACTAGAATACCAAAATAATTCCAACTTAGAAATATTAATTTTCATTTCTTTAATAAACAGTATACCAAATTCATTACATTATTATTCTCAATATTCATTACAATATAATGCCAAAAAAAAATCCAATCAAACCAAAAATCGTACGAAAACATTATCGATTGTCATACATGCTTGGTAGTATAAGTATACAAATTCCAAAGAAAAAATTATCTATTTTTTTAACCAAAAATATACCCAAAAAAAATGCGTCAGACAAATAATGAACAAATTTAATGTTCATACCAAAATATAACATTATACATTTTTTTAAAAACGCCATAATTCAAATTATTATACACAACAAAAAATCTGAAATCAGTATACAAATTTCATATAATTATTATGCACATTTTTCATACCTATTTCATGCCAAAACTATACCTATTTCATTACATAAGTCGTCACTTTTTCACAGCAGAATCATGTCACTATAATACCAAAATAATACCACTTTTAACTATTAATTGTCATTTATTAGACAAATAGTATATGAAATTCATTCAAATATAATTCTAAAATCGTACCAACATGGTATAACCAATATACCAAATTCAAATAAATTTTATGTAATTTTTTAACCAGAAACATACAAAAAATGAATGTTCAAACAAAAATCTATACCAATTTCAAACAAAATTTATGTAATTTCAAAAGTGAATATTCATACCAAAAATGCCATAATTAAAACTATTATTCACAAACAAAATCTGAATATTTTTTTTTCCGGAATCACTGTTCATAATTTTTTTGAACGTTTGATTTGTATTACAATACAAATAAAAAATCGCAAAGAACACTAACCTGAAGGATCCCATCTACCACTATGTTTTATTAATACTAATAAGATGCCGTTCAGAAAATAAAGATTATTGAATAAAAACGAATATGAATTAGATGAGAGTGACAAGATTTCTAGAAAAAAATCGAAGAGAGAGAAACATGAAAGAAAATGGATGAAATCAGAATTTTTAATTAATTTAACAAATTAGAGTGAAATAAGGAAACTAAATATTCTTAATTAGTTTGAATTTCCTTAATTTATGCTAATTAGTAATTATCTTCAATCAATTCAAATTTAATTAACACATTTATTTCCGTTTTTTTACCTTTTTTTTCCAGAAACGAATTATTTTATTTTTTTATCTTTTTATTTTTTTCAAATTTTTTATTTTACAATTATTTAAAAAAAGCTCTTTTTTAAGAAACTGTTACAACCTGAAATATTTTATTGTTACAACTTGAAAGTTTAATTCTACTGCTATAACTTGAAAATATTAGTCTAATATATGTCATATATGAAATTTTCACATATTTATACTGTTTTATTTATACTTTTAAATAATTATTTGTCTTACTATAAATTAAGAGTTTCCTACTATATATCTAGGATGATACACCTAGATACATGTATTTTGTTATCAAATATACTAAAATAGGGAGAGAGGCGAGCAAGATGGGGAGAGAGGTGAACGAGATGGGGGAGGGAAATAGTCGTGTAACCTAGATGCATGAGAATCACACTAGATACATGTATTTGTATGTATCTAGTGTGATTCACATGTATCTGAAATAGTAGATATATAAGAGAGTGGTGAGCGAAATGGGAGGGAAGCGAAGGAGATTTGTCTATATATGTATCCCAGATACGTGAAAATTCACTTGAATATAGTGTATCTAGAACAAATTACACCTAATTTTGACATCATGTATCCCGAGATACATGTATCGAGACGTACCTAGACGCACCAAAATGTGATAAGATTTGTAAGATTCTAAATTAAAGTGTATCTAAGTAATTAACTCCTAAACTAGTGGGATTTCTGTAAGGCTTAATGGGTAATTTTTGTGATAAATAAAATTTTTGAGTAAGAAATTTTGACTCAATAGACATTTTGTCTAATTTTCTCGAAAGAGATTTTGTAACTTTTTGAGGGCTTATTTATGCAAATATCCATTTTTATGTTATTATTCAGATTATATTTTTCCTTAAAAAATTACACAAGCATAACTCTGAAAAATTATCCCTTTTAGATAATGATATACTAGAAATAATGTTTGCTCATATATTGCTTAACTTTATGGATAAAATATTAAATTATTAAGTCTAACGTTTACTCAAATGCATCTTTAAATCGTTGTATAAAAGATTATTGTTATATAAAAAGGGGTAACAATTCTCTTAAAAAAAGAGAATCGGCAAAAAATATGCTTTCTGAGCAATATTTCTATTAATTTCTAAATTATTTAACCTTCATTGTTTTATTACTGAATTTATTACAATTTGTTACACTTTTAAAATTTTATTATATGATTATTTATATTCAATATTAAATCATTTTTGCTTGTACTCGTAACTAGACATATACTATTACAGTTAAACCTCATCATAATAGTTATTTTTTATAATAATATTTGTATAAACAACCTGATTTTCTCAAGGATTATTTTTTCATGTTACTCTATATTTTATTTTTCTGTAACAGGATTCTACTTATAACAACAATGACATTCATTATATCAATACACTATTTATAAAACAATTACCTCTTTATAATAATCGTACTCCACTATTTTAAAAATATATGTATATTATGTATAAAAATTAAATATTTATGAAAATCATTATTAATATCAGTATCACACCTAATAAATTCCAAGAAAAAATGTCTAATCAATTATATATGGTTATAATTTTCATAAGGAAGGCTACTGGTGGACGGTGGTTTCCATTTTTGTACAAGCATGCTCTTTATATTTATTTTTTTGGTTAAATTAAATTACAAATATATTTTCTTTTTGGTACAAAAAATTATTGAATTATTTTTTTGCATACTTTTATTTATAGTTATTAAATTATCTTTAAAAGTTGAATATCAATACAAATAAATACATATAATAATATTTCATAATAAGAATTATGAAATTTTCAAATAAATTCTATCGTTATAATGAGGTTTGAGTGTAGTCTGTATTCAAATTACAATTTCCACAAACTCATATGTAGAAAATATTCACCTCCTATTTAATATAGTAATTAACTCAATGACTAAATTGGAAATGACGGTGGATCATAAATTCATAATTGATAAGATTGCTAGTGGACGGTGGTAACGCGTCTAATATTATTATTACGTAGCTTTAAAGATGGTAATGAAATGGCAAGTAGGGCAATTCAAAATCGAATTGAAAAAATATTATTGATTTTATGATAATGAGTTATTAGTTAATGGTTCATTGAAAAAATTTGATGTTATTTTTATTGAGTGGACAATTTTGTAATGGACGTTTAAGATTTTTTTGCTTAACGAGTTAATCGATAATTCGATATATAACTCAGAATAAATCTTGTGGGTTCATTATGTTTTACTACTCAAATTGTTCAAATAATGTAAATTACTTGATAATTTTTGGAATACCTATTTTGTTTCAGTTATCACATTGTTTGTAAGTAACTTTTAATGAATAAATTTTTTCATGTGCTATCTTATAAACTGTTAACACAATAACCAAATCAATAACAATTAGTAATCGTTATCTTACCACCATTTAACGATTTAACATATGTATGAATCGATAACTGATAAGTCGAACTAATAACTTTCAAAATCAAATTGAACCGATCAAATAAACCTTATTTGGTAAGTACTCCGTTATTCTTAATCGAATGTCTCAAATTCGAGTCTTGAATATAAAGTCGCTTTTGATAGTAAAATTTTACGACGATTAACTCGGATTAGTTGAGTTCCAAAAAAACAATACCAAATATCATATGAAAAACCAAAAAAGTCATTGTTTGAGATAATCTTATTAACACACTACAACAAAGAAAACGTTTAGCGCTAATTGAGTCAATATCATTGCATGCAAAGTTGCTAGAGCCTGTAATGACATTTATATATAATGTTAGTATCGCAAAATCCTTTATACATTATAGTGATGTTATCACTCATGCCTAATGATGTATCAATGTTGGGTTAAAAAAAGAATTATTGCCACGTAGGTGCCAGTTCACTACCCAAAATATTAATAAAAAAGATAAGGATAAATTTTTGTTAACTAAATGCTGACGTGTAAGTGTGAATTCTTTTGTTTGACTTAATTAGTACACTTCCTATCCCAATGAGAGTTATGGATAATCTTAATTTTCAAACATTTGAATTACTTAAAAATTAATTACATAAATCTATTTTTTAAGAAAATAAAGGTAAGAATTCTTATACAACATGTTTGTTATGTTGGTTTTGTAAAAAAAAATATATTCTACACTATCAATATATGAGATCAAAATCGTACTAAACTAGCTTACGTTTTCTAGTAATGTGCTTGGTACCACACATCGACTGATTCTAATCGAAAAAGTGCATAAATGATCATGCATGTAATAGTTCAGAAGTATATTTAGACTTTTTTCCTAAAAAAGAAATACTAAATATATTTAGAGTAATATAATAATGACAATACAATGAGAAGAATGACATAGAAAAAACATTAGTTTCATCGAAATTATTTTGTAAAGTGAATAAAGTTTATCCTCTTTCATAAATATTTTCCTATATTAGCTTCATATATCTTGATATTTATAGAAAATAAATACAATATTTTTGCAAAGTGCATCATTACTTTTTTGGCAATTCGTTCACTGTACAATTTTTTTGACAGCTAATAATAATAATAATTAATTAAAAATAAACTTGACAGCTAAGTAATAAAATTTGAATATATCTGAATATATATTTTTTCTATAAATATACTCCTATATTGACTCTTCGTATACTCTATATTCTTAGTCTTTTCTTCTTCATTTCTCATAATTTCTCTCTAAAAATAATAATTCTTAGTACTATAGTTTTTATTATTTGTTGAAAAAAAAATGGCTGGTGGTGGTGGAGGAATTAGTCATGGAAATAATGGAAAAGAATATCCTGCAAATTTAACTCTTTATGTTACTATTACTTGCATTGTTGCTGCTATGGGTGGATTGATCTTTGGTTACGATATCGGAATTTCTGGTACGTGTATGAATTTAGAATTTAGAGTCAGTCGATTTAGAATATGTATATATGATATATCTCAGTTTTTTTGTGTATGGATATGTTATTTGTTTGTTAACTTTAGGGTCAGTAGATTTAGAGTATGCATATATCTCTTCATTTTTTTTGATGTATCGATCCGTTATTTTTAAAATTTATATCTATATTCTATCTTGAAGAATATGAACTCACAAAATATTGAATTATAAATTTGGTTTTGTGTGTGTCAAACATTGTGTACTTATATGCTATGCTGCTCGGATTCAATACATATTTGTCAAACATTGTTAGAGAATCCGGAATAACATAACTTGTGTCATATGAAAAAATGTTGTCTCACATGTGTCTGATTCTCTAAAAATATTTTTTTAGAAAATTAGACATATATATAATTGGAGAATCGGAGCAACATAACTCGTGTTATATGAAAAAAAGAAGAAGATTGTGTACTTAATTATGGTCTATGTTGCTCGGATTCTCACACATCTAGATAGACATTATAGCAACATAACTCGTGTTATATGAAAAGAAGAGAAGAAATTAAATTGCTTACTATATTCTATGTTGCTCGAATTTTCACACACCTAGATAGACATTATCAGGAGAATTAGAGCAACATAACTTGTGTTATATGAAAAGAAGGAAAGAAATTGCTTACTATATTCTATGTTGCTCGGATTCTCACACATCTAGATAGACATTATCTGGAGAATTCGAGCAACTTAACTCGTGTTATGTGAAAAAAGAATTAAAAAGATGATGTACTTGTGTTCTATGTTGCTTGAATTTGGTCAGACACATTATTGGAGAATCCGAGCAACATTCTTGTTTTTTCTGATGATGTTTGTGTGTGTGTGTTTGGAACAGGGGGTGTGACATCAATGGACACATTCTTGAGCAAATTTTTCCATTCTGTTTACACAAAGCAAAAGGCAGACACATCAACAAACCAGTACTGCAAATTCGACAGCCAGACACTAACAATGTTCACATCATCATTGTACCTTGCTGCACTATTTTCGTCGATTGTTGCATCAACTGTTACAAGAAAATTGGGAAGGAAACTTTCAATGCTCTTTGGGGGTGTCCTGTTTTGTGTTGGGGCTTTGATAAATGGTCTTGCTAGGGATGTTGCTATGCTCATTGTTGGAAGAATTTTGCTTGGTTTTGGTATTGGATTTGCCAATCAGGTGATTTTTTCGCGATTTCAATTTGCTACATGACATGTTTTTATTTGATTAACATGTTCCTTTAGTTCTTGCTTTTGATATCTATCATTGTCATTTGTTGTTTATTGTATTTTTCGATTGGATTTGAATTCGCCACATAACATGTTTTTTTTTTGTTTGATTAGCATGTGATCCCGTAGTTCTTGCTTTTGATATCTATCATCATCATCATATGTTGTCTATTGTGTTTTGATTGGATTTGAATTCACCACATGACATGTTTTTTGTTGTTTGATTAACATGTGAACCTGTAGTTCTTGCTTTTGATATTTATCACTCTATGTTGTTTATTATGTTTCGATTATCATATTATTTAGCTGTTGTTATTGTTCCTTGTATGCTCTGCACTGCTTTCCTTATTAACTACTATGCTTTCTTTATTGTTTTTTCCTTACTTTGCTTGTATTTGTTGCATTTGAATCGCGTTCTTTAAAAAACAACCTCTCTACCTCCACGAGGTAGTGGTAAGGTATGTTGTTTGATGGTTGACCCCACTTGTGGAATTTCACTGGATATGTTGTTGTTGTTGTAACATGTTCTTGGTAAATTTGTTATGCAGTCTGTACCTTTGTACCTATCTGAAATGGCACCATACAAGTACAGAGGAGCACTTAACATTGGCTTTCAATTGTCAATCACAATTGGCATACTTGTAGCCAATGTGTTGAACTTTTTCTTCGCGAAGTTTGACCGGGGATGGCGTTTGAGTCTAGGTGGCGCGATGGTACCTGGATTGATCATAACTGTAGGTTCCCTCCTCCTCCCAGAGACTCCCAACTCCATGATTGAACGTGGAAACAACGAGGAGGCCAAGACAAAGCTCAAGAGGATCAGGGGTGTTGATGATGTGGACGAAGAGTTCAATGATTTAGTCGTAGCTAGTGAAGCCTCAAGGAAAGTTGAGCATCCTTGGAGGAACTTATTGCAAAGGAAGTATAGGCCACATCTCACTATGGCTATTGCCATTCCATTTTTCCAACAACTTACTGGGATCAATGTGATCATGTTTTATGCCCCCGTCTTGTTCAAGACTATTGGTTTTGGTGGTGATGCTTCACTTATGTCTGCTGTTATTACTGGTATAGTTAATGTTGGTGCTACCATTGTTTCGATTTATTATGTCGATAAGTTGGGAAGAAGATTTTTGTTCCTTGAAGGTGGAATTCAAATGCTCATCTGCCAAGTAAGTTTAAAATCTCATTTTCTTACATAGTTTCATTCAAAAACGGTTGCAAGAGACTGTTTCCATCACTTGTAACATTTGGTGTGGTATATACGCAACCTCACCTCAATTGCTAGTCACATGACAACGCGATTGTCTATTTTAATGTGCAGATTGCTGTGGCAATATGCATTGGAACAAAATTTGGAACAGATGGTTATGCAGGGGAATTACCAAAGTGGTATGCAACATTAGTAGTCATATTCATATGTATTTATGTAGCAGGATTTGCTTGGTCATGGGGACCTCTAGGATGGTTAGTCCCTAGTGAAATTTTCCCACTCGAAATTCGTTCAGCAGCACAAAGTATCAATGTATCTGTCAACATGATCTTCACATTCATAGTCGCGCAAGTGTTCTTGACACTCTTGTGTCACTTGAAGTTTGGTTTGTTCATCTTCTTCGCGTTCTTTGTATGTGTTATGACAGTTTTTATCTACTTCTTCTTGCCCGAGACGAAGAATGTGCCTATTGAAGAGATGGTTGTTGTGTGGAAACAACATTGGTTTTGGTCTAGGTTCATGACTGAAGTTGATTACCCTGGAGCAGCAGCAGCTAATGTTGAAATGGCAAAAGGGGACAATGGGAGCAAATTAGTATAGACATATTTATATTATAGTAAGTATTAATTTGACAAAAAGAATATATGAAAAGGAGGTGTTTTATGTAATGTTTTGTTAGTTTAAAGAACATATAGTTTGGCAACATATTTTGGAAGTTCTATTAAATTTTGTGGTCAATTTGTGTCAAGTTGAATCACTTCCTCTACTCTTTGGTCCATTATATTTGAGGTAAACTAATTTCGAGGTTTAACCTGGTACGTCTAAATGTCTAGTTAAAGATGGAGAAATATTTATTTATCTGTTTGTCAGTGGAATTGACCTGTTTTAAGATTACTTAACACACTCGTGTTTTTGATAAAATAGTCTAACTATTATCACAAGATAAAAATAAGTATGCTTACACATCACCATCCCCGATCTCACCTGTAGTTGTCATCTTGTCATTTGACTTGTCTTTTCATAACAAGTGTGGGTTTTTGACTTTTGAAGAACAAGTAAAAAAAAAATTTTAAAACAAAAAATAAAAATGAAAAGAGGTAGAGACCTTCCTTTATTATATATAGTAAGTAAAGTACTTATTTATTATTTTTGGAAGATATTTCTTGATTTTTTCTTGGAGAGGAAGGCAAGGGTTGACCCCAATCTTGTCTAAACATATAAATGAAAAATCAAGTTTTGTTTATAATATAAAACATATATACAAGAAATATTAAGTTTTGTTGATGTATAAACTAATGAGCCATTTGTTCATGTATTTTTTTTTAAAATATAATATTTAGTTTTACATTGAATTAACTTTTTTTATATAAAAAATAACTTTTAAACTTTTGAAAACAAACATACTTTTTAAAGTCAAACACGATCAAATATAACTCATATTCGTCTTTTCAATTCAACTTTAAATAAATCATAAGTTATAAGCTTATCCAAACATATTCTAAGTTTACAACATATGAATGAAAAAATATGTATCTCAATTTTGTATTTGAATAAAAGAATAATGCTTCTACAAAGATCTTTCATGTATTATTTTAATTATATATATATATTTGTTAATTGTCATAAAATCAATTAATACCAAACATTGAGGAATAAGTAAACTAATCCTTTGCAATTTGAATTTTAGAAAAAAAACTTAGCAAAGATCTCTCGTGTAATTTCAGATTTTTTTATTTATAAATTAAAAATATGTTATAAACATTGAATTTATAAAAGATTACAAAATGAAATAAATTTCATTTGTTTCTCCCGATCAAATACAATAATAATATACTTAGTACTATAATCACAAGTCGAGAGTATTTTCGATAAACACTTAGCTAAATAACACATCTCAAATATTCAATTTGAAAAAAAATAAATACTAATGAAAGCAATAACAAAAACAACAAAAATGAAAACAATAACAACAAAGAATAAAACACTGGAAAAAACATACATAATACAATTGAAACAACTAAAAACAACTTATAATACTAAAATCTAAGAATACGATAATAAATTTGATCAAATAAATCACATATAATAAAAAAAATGATAACAATAATATATATATATTTTAATTATTATTATTATTATTATTATTTATAAAAAAGTATATATTGTATAAATGGCAAATTTTCAAATTAAAATTGACATGACTTTTGAATCTTGATCCACCAACTCCCAATTGGTGGGAATTGCCCTCTACCTCAAGATCCAAAACTAATTTATTTATTTATTTTTAATTTCCTATTTTCTCATATATTTCTTTTTTCTTTCTTTCTTCTTCTTCTACGCCGTCTAGGTTTTAATAAACCAAAAAAAAAAGAACTTTTTTTTTATAGCTAAATCAAAATTGTCCAAAGGAGAAGCAAAAAAAAATTCCTTTGTGACAATGGTTTCTTCTTCTTGTTGTTGCTCTTCAACAATAATTTGCCCTAATTGTTCTTCTAAGCTCCCATTATTCATCACCTGCGCACGTTAGCTTCAATTGAAACATCCCCAAATAGTCACCGATAAATCATTTTTGCATCGTCATGTCAAGGTTAGTTTGAAAAGAGATGCGGTTTTGATTTTATTTTATGTTTTTTTTATGAGTTTTTGATTTTTAATTTGTGGGGTTTGGTTATTTTGAGTTTTTAATTTGTGGGGTTTTGTTCTTTTCAATTTGTTGTTGATTCTTAATGTTGTTTTCTATATTGGGTATATAAGCAAAGAGGTGGGGGTGGGGGTGGGGGATAATATGAACCATAGTCAAAAGTAGATGGGTAAAGTTGGAGCATTTTTTTGTTTTTAATGGTAGTGTCTGGGCAAGCTTAGGCATATCTGGACTAAGTCAAGGTGCACAGGTAGCTGTGTCTGCCAAGGCTTGGACAAATAGGAAGAAATCACCTAGTGTTTTTGTGTATGCTGGGATTTGATGGTTCTGAATACACCTGGTTAAGTAAAATTGGAGCTTTTTCCATGAAGTATGTTGACAATTCCATAGTAGTTTGTGCTATAGCTCGGTAACATAAGGGGATGAATTCATCATAGTTAAACTGTTTTCATCAGATAAGAATGTTATTGGTTATTTGGATGTCTCGGAAGCTATGATATATTGAGACCTAACTAGTTAGTTACTAGCTGAGGTAGTGATTTTAAGTGGAAAGTTTTTTTTTTCTTTCGATTCGTGTGGGCTTTGGCTTTAGAAGAATACCTTCACTCTTTAGTTCTAGGCTTTGTATTTGATCCTTTTTAGCTTATTGAATGGAAGTAGGTACCAAAGATGAAGGTAAATGCCTACATATAAGTGAAAGAAGCGAATTTGTTTGGATATGAATGAGCAGCACCATAACTAATGTGGTCTGATCATCACAACGGAGTCCAATTGTTAGGTCACATAGAAGAAGAAGAAGCGAAATGAGTGGATTGCATGAAATTACTTTAATACCAAATCTCCACCGCACTGCAAATAAAATAAAAATGGTAATGTAGAAATGTAAAGGTAAGAAATGGAAGAGCAAAATTCTCAAATTCAACCTTGTTCCTCCTCCTTTCTTCTCCTGAAACCTAGGTTAGTCCAGACCCTTAAATAACAGAAGCATAACCAAGGTAAGTTGTCAAACGACTCGACATGTAGCAGAAAGATTTTTAGCAATCAATCAGTTGATCCTATATACTAGTTATTTATCAAAAGCAATAAAAATTGAATCCTTATGTAAAACTTATTGGTCATTGTTTGCTAAAATATCATGCTTTTGTATGGCATAGTTTTACCATGTTTTCAGAGTAGAGCCTACAAGACCACAAATGTGTGTTTTGACCTGGATAGGGGATATGAGAGGGCGGGGGGGGGGGGGAGAGGGGGGGGAAGAGGACCATAAGAGGGGTTCATTGACAACAACAACAACAAACCCAGTGCAATCCCACCAGTGGGGTTTGGGGAGGGTAGGATCTCCAGGGGGAGGGGGATATGAGATATCTGTTGGGGGGGGGGGGACCATAAGAAGGGTTCATTGACAACAAACCCAGTGCAATCCCACAAGTGGGGTTTGGGGAGGGTAGGATCTATGCATACCTTACCCCAACCTTTATGGGGAAGAAAGTTCCTGTGGCACTGTCAAATATTTAAGAGAAGTTAAAACGTGGAGGGAGCATAGCTGTTCTTGAGTTATTTTTGATTCCATTAGTGAATTCCTAATGGATTTTGTTCTCACGTATTGATTATTTTAATAGTACTTAATTTGCTTTTGAATGCCTTGGTCTTTTGTTGTCTCTGAATGCATTTTGTAACTCGCAATTGTACTTTTGACTGTTAATGCAGATTCTTTAGAATAGGTAGTATTAAAAGAGTTGCACAATCCCTTGAAAAAAGTCAGAGAAGTGCCTATTTAGGAGAAAAACATGGATTGCTTGGTAGGGTTGGGATATGTTCTTCAAAGTACAGATTTTATGGACGATACACATCTTCTGCTAGAGGATATGCTTCATTTACTGGGTACAGAGTACAAAACAGTATGCTCAACAATTTTCACAAGATACAGTCTGCCACTTCGTCGAGCAATCCTAAAGCACATCATGCTCAACTTGCTTGGAGGAGGTTCTTGCTGATTTCTTTTTACAGGGGAAGAACTTTTATTCCATTAAATAGAATTGCTCAAGCAGTTAGTTTGGCTCTGTGCCGCTCTGCAGTTGTTGTTCCTGGTATATTTGCCTTAAGATATGGAAAGAATGTAGCAGTGGCAGAGGCAGAGGCCATGCCGGTTGTGGACCTTTCCTCGCCAAGGAATACATTTTATCTACGTGCACAAGATAGTCATGTCTTATTTACTCGACTAATCCTTTCAGCATTTGAAGGTGCTGTTCTTTTGGTGAGAGCTTTTTATTTGGCAATCCTGTTCTCTCCAAGCATTGCAATGGCGCCATTTGCAGAAGTTCTGGGACCTAGGTACAGGAAAATATGGCTTCAGGTTGTTCACCGGACTCTTGAAAGAGCAGGTCCCGCATTTATAAAATGGGGCCAATGGGCGGCTACACGGCCAGATCTGTTCCCAAGAGACTTGTGTGCTGAGCTGTCAAAGCTTCATTCAAAAGCTCCTGAACATAACTGGGCCTACACAAAAAAAGCTGTTGAAAAAGCTTTTGGTCGCAAGCTTTCCGAGATTTTTGACAATTTTGAGCAGACCCCTGTAGCATCTGGAAGTATAGCTCAAGTGCATCGTGCTTCCTTGAAGTCTAGATATCCTGGTCGTGAGAACAAGCCCATGAAAGTGGCTGTGAAGGTTAGACACCCTGGAGTTGGTGAATCAATTAGAAGAGACTTTGAGATTATCAATGTAGTTGCAAAATTGTCAGGGTTCATACCATCACTTAAGTGGCTTAGATTGGATGAAAGTGTCCAGCAATTTGCTGTCTTTATGATGTCACAAGTTGACCTAGCAAGAGAAGCTGCCCATCTAAGTCGTTTTATTTATAATTTTCGAAGATGGAAAAATGTCTCTTTCCCTAAGCCTGTTTATCCATTAGTACATCCTGCCGTGCTGGTGGAAACATTTGAGGAAGGAGAAAGTGTCGCCCACTATGTTGATGAACTTCAGGGTCATGAGCGACTTAAGAGTGCTCTTGCTCATATTGGAACTCATGCACTTCTCAAGATGCTTCTGGTAAGTTTTTCTTTGATGTACTTTGTTCGAATTGTTTGTATTATCATGGATTTGTTTGTGGTTCATCATATAGTAATTGGTTTCTTAAAAATTGTCTTTTTTTTAAATTATGTGCCACACAACAACGCATTTATCTTTTTGGGGAAAAAAAGAGAAGAAGATAAATGCGTTGTTTTTTTGTTTTTGTTTTTTTTGTTTTTTTTTTTTCAAAAAAACAACGCATTTATCTTCTTCTCTTTTTTTCCCCAAAAAAGCAACAACAACAACATACCCAGTGAAGCCTAGCTCGAGTGGCAAAAGGTGGAGGATTTGTGCGAAGCCCGGTATTTAAGTGGAGAAGGGTAGAGGGGCGGATCCATTATCCACCGAGTTTAGAAGGTTGTGATTGGTCCAAAGGGCGGGTCACATACGGATTTTTCGGTTATAAAAAAAAACACCCAGTGAAATTCCACAAGTGGGGTTTGGGGTTTCCAAAAAAGCAAGAAGCTAAAAGGTGTATAAGAATACTAATCAATATGGTGTATAAGAATTCTCAAAACTTTTCCACATGCTGTAAACTTCGTTAAAACATGACATAAATAAAGCTAATTTGATATTCCTTAGTATTATTGGTTTCTTTTTTCTTTTTTCTTTATACATAAATCTTTGATGAGTATTGGACTCATATATGGGTCTATACACTCCAAGGGGTTGTTTGGTAGGGTGTATAAGAATACTACTCAATATGGTATATAAGTAATGTTGGAATTAGTTGTGGATACCTGCACCCAAAGGTGTGGCCTAGTGGTTAATGAAGTGGCTGAGAGCTATGAAGTTTCAGGTTCAAATCCCAACAGAGACAAAAACACTAGGTGATTCTTCCATTATGTTCTAGCCTTGGTGGACAAAGTTACTTGATACCTGGTGTTGGTGGGAGGTGGCAGGTATCCCGTGGAATTAGTCGAGCCCATCACCACGGGCATCCAAAAAAAAAATTAGTTATGGTTACCTCCATCTCAAAAAGTAATGCTGAGATTAGTTATACATATATCATTTTTTATTGATTGTTTGGGTTGTATGAAATGACTAGGGTGTATTAGAATAGGATAGTATTGAATAGTCCTATTAGAATAGGAATTATCCCCCATATTGTTATTGTCATAGTTTACTATGTATAAGAATAGTGTGTATTAGTAATACATTGGTTGAAGACATTTCCAAACAATGGATTGGATAAATACCAAAGCTGATGAACATATTATTTTCTCTACTACCTCCAACCAAATGATCCCTAAGAGCAAATAATGTTATATGCTTGTGCAAAGATACCCTATATGCTCTTGCTTGATGTCTCCATTCATTATGCATGTGCATATGTTATTGGTTATTCAGATATATTCCTTTTTGCTCATCTCACGTTTCTTCTGCACAAGATAATGAACAGCATTTGTCTTCGCATCAAGAAGTTACTTTCTTCCAATATGTTCAGGTGAAGCTTATAACTGGCTTCACCCTAATTCTCTCAAAGTTGCTTCCAAATAAACTCACTTTGAGATATATGCTGTAGCTTGTACACAGGGGCAAGTGGCAACCTACTAATTATTGAGAGTGGGCAGAACGCTGAGTTCTTTACTATTTTGTTGCTCTTCACATGGTCCTTTCATGCTAGTATATTATGTGAAAGCTTAGATGTAAAATCGACATAATAAATGGAAAGCGGAGATGTGTGTGTTTGTGTGAGAGATATTTTACTAAGGTACACTTCTTTCTTTCAGGTTGACAACTTCATGCATGCAGACATGCATCCAGGAAATATTCTTGTCCGTGTACCAAAGCACAAGTCCTCTCAGAAACGTATATTCAAGTCAAAGCCACATGTGATTTTCCTTGATGTAGGCATGACTGCTGAACTTTCTCAGAATGATAAGTTGAATTTGCTTGAATTCTTTAAGGCTGTTGCTCGTCGAGATGGCTCCTCTGCAGCGCAGTGCACTTTAAATCTATCAAAGAAGCAGAATTGCCCTAATCCAGATGCCTTCATTAAGGTAAATTTCTTACTCAATTCAAAATTTCTTTTCTATTTCAAGGCGATTCTCAAAGACTTGAATTAGAAACTTGGATATGCTTGTTTCTATTTACATAGTGACATTTGTTTTTGGACTGGTTTAACCAAAAGTACTTTGACTAGTTAGCTATCCTTGAAAATAATGTTCAATGAAGCAATACCATTAGAATTGATATGCTGGTTATTACTTTATGAGAAATTGGGCTGAATCTCCAATATACGGGTGTGGAGACATGGTTTCCCTGTTCTCTAAATGGCTTTTTCTCTTTTAGGAAGTTCATCAATATGCCTTCTGGGTGTCAGCATTAGGGAATTGTCCTGAATGTTTACCCTTGGTAGAAGAGCATGCCAAACTTCTTCTTTTTTGTTTTGTTGATAAAGTAAGAGCATGCTATACTAATTAAAAGAGAAAGTCAAAGGGGTAAGGAAAACTAGGATGCAATGTGCCAGAACCTTGACGTTGCTTTTCCTGCCATCATGAAATCCTCATCTACTCCGGTCTCCGGGTTAAGACTTGCAATCAATTAGTCCTTTACTCGACATTGGTGTCAAAGGAAGAGCACAATCTAGAACTATATATGGAAGATCATGATTACTGGGCATTGTAGTCAATGTCATATCCATATCCTTCCAAGTGACAGCAACTAGTGACCACTTCTTATAAACATCCTGCAGAGCCAAATCCAATTATATTCTCTTTGTGTTCATGATGTCGGGAAAGTCAGATGCACAGAGATAGTGGCGACTTTATCAGTTCACATACTGGTGTAGATAATTGTGAAATCAGCTCGCTTGCTGCTTATCTCTTGGAATGCTCTGGTTATAATGAATGGTGAAAACATGGTTTTCTTATAACATCCTTGAACTGCTAAAATGTTCCTTTAAAAAATGATCTATTTTTTTCCAAAAACTTCACACATCATTGAGGAAATTGTAGAAAGAGAAGTTGTTAGGGAGTAAAACGTTTTGGCTGACAGACTATCTCAGATAGGACTAAACTCTGCAAGTATGGATGCAAATATGCTACAACTTTATGAGCTACCTCCATCGTTGGTGGCTACTTCTCTTGAAGATGATAGGATAGGAATGTCTTCCTGGAGACGGACTAATCATAGAAGCTCTTCAGTTGTACTAGTCAGCATTTATCTAACTTCCAACGGGTTGAAAATATTAGCACTGCTACTAATACCCCTGCTCCCCCTATGTTAATACCTTTTCACCAAAAAATAAAAGAAAGAGAAGTTGATACATAAACGAAATAGGTTATCAGGGTGAAACTTTGCATCTGGTCTTTTTAGGTTTTTTTTTGTTTGGGGGGTGAGGGGTGAGTGTAGGGGTGATTGGGTCCAAAGTTCAAGAAAAGATTTATGGACCGCCTGAATCTCGAGACCATTTCTTATTGTCAAAAACTCTCCCAATCCTTCTTCCCTAGAATTTTTTGAATATTTCAGGAGGCCCCTTTTCGTACAGATGCTCATAGGTGAAGGAGGCCATCCTTTGCTCCTGTCAGCTGGATCAAAACCGTGTTCCAATGTGCAAGGCCCTCTCCTGAAGAGGTCAAATAGTCATGATCCATTCATATTACTTTTGTCTTATGGACTGTGTCTAGCGGCTGGTGAATCCTATCCTGTACCTGAACTGGATTTGGATATTCAATTCAACCACACTACCCTACATGGAAGTTTAATGGTCTTGGGACATAATTTCCCTGGATTTTAGACTCCCTTTCTCTTTAACCAGCGATTCTCTTAGTTCCGATATATATATGTGTGTGTGTGTGTGTGCGCGTGCACGTGTGTGTTGTTTCCATTGTTCTTGATTCATTGGTGTTAGTTCTCATACCCCTAGTCCTAGAAATATATGATTGTATAATGTCTTTTTATATCCACTGCCAGTACATCTGTTTTGCTTAGGATTTGTGCCAGTACATCTTTTTTAGTCTGTCTTCTTATTATACAGGAAGTGAAAGAGTCTTTTGATTTTTGGGGGACTCCGGAAGGAGATTTAGTCCATCCTGCGGACTGCATGACGCAACTACTTGAACAAGTTAGGCGTCACAAAGTGAACATTGATGGCAATGTGTGCACTGCGATGGTTACAACTTTAGTCCTGGAGGTAGTTACTTTCGATATCACTTGAGCTTATATTTTTAGATTATAAATAATTAATGAGTGAAGGTAAAAAACACACCTAAAGTATCCTGATTTTTTGAGTTTCAAACCTGAACTATCATGTGTACGAGTTTCCTAGCTGTACTATCACTAACTGTTTATCAAAACACATCTCAACTATGAGTTGTTCTCTTTTCATACCTGAACGATGGTGATATTTCAGGTAGGAAAAAGGAATAACTAATAGTTGAACTATTTTTTGATAAATAGTTGATGAAAGTTCAGGTAGGAAACTCAAAAAACCGGTATACTTTAGGTGTGTTTTTGACCCTTCACTCATAATTAAATGGACTCAGAATTTTTGCTTTTCCGTAGTTTAGGATGAACTGGTAATTATAAAAGCTACTCCCTCCATTTCAATTCGTTTGTCGTACCTTCCTTTTTAGTCTGTTTCAAAAGGAATGCCTCTTTCCTTTTTTGGCAACATTCTAACTTTCTACATGGCGTGTTTAAGGCCACAAGATTGAAGGGCATTTTGGTACATTTTACATATCTTAGTTAAAAATTAGAAGATTCAAAAGTCTTTTTTACTTAAACTCCGTGTCAAGTCAAATCTAGATAAACAAATTGAAACGGAGGGAGCACATGGCACTACCAATGATTACTTGACCGTACCCTTTGTCACTCTCTACCTGTTGACAACAAAGGGAATAAACCCTAATGAATATTATTGCTTCCGTACCATACGTGACACTGTTAATCTTGTCGCTGCAGGGCTGGCAACGGAAACTTGATCCAGATTACAATATAATGCACACACTACAGACCTTGCTTCTCAAAGCCGACTGGGCAAAGGATCTTTCCTACACAATCGAACAGGTCATGGCTCCATGAAACTTCCCTCATGTTACTGCAAACAAATTGTCTCACGAATCGTGATATACAATACACAAATGTATATTTTAGCCCCAAAAGACCAAAATCATGTCTCTAGTTTACATTTTAACCGATTTAGATAGCCACATATCTGCCTCACAAGATTTTGTTAGTGAAAAGAAATCTTTGATATATATATATCGATCACCAATAATACTGACCTTCGGGAGCTTGACACTTGCGGCAACAATGGCAAAAGGAAGTGTAGTATCTTCCTTAGTTAATTCATTGATTTTTCTTATTTTTTTTCTCCTTTTCTCATAGTAGTTTTGTCTAGGGAAAAGGAGGACGAAGACGTTAGAATTTTGTTCTCATCCCTACAGTTTTCCTCTCAATGTATGTAATTTTTCTAGTTTTTGTTGTGCTTTATTATTCAATATTAGAAGAAAAAAGATAATTTTGTGTGAAGCTGTTAATTGTTGGTTGCTATTGTTAAGCTGTTGAAAGAACTAAACGTACATATGAGTTGTGTCTATATAATGCTTTCCCTATTGCTTGTTATGTCCTCTTCACTTCTGTATTTTCTTTTTCAAACTGCTTTGGTATGCGTTATTTAAGTTGAGACTCTTTCGGTAACAATCTTTTTACCTCCACGAGATAGGGGTAAGGTTTGTGTACAATGTATCCCCATGCTTTACCTTTGATATTACATTGGATATAATAACAAAGAAACTTTTTGCAAAATTGATACAATTTGGTTGGCTCTATATGTTGATATGCACTAAAATCTTTTGTATTCACTATGACACTTGGAGTTTGTTATACTTCATAGCTCCTAAAGGCATTGGTATAGTCTCCAGGCTTAGGGATTTGTGACTTAGGTCACAGATTTAAGCTCTATATTGTGCAATTTACGCCTCGTATTTAAGTGGAAAAGGGTGTAAGGTGAATGAATTATGCTCAAGTTTTGAATGTTGTGGTCGGTTTCAAAGTAGGTGTCAAGCCTTTCTGTTGATATGGGCTTTTGGGAAAGACTAGTCTGTTATCCTTAGAGTAATTTTTATTTGTTGAGCGATCATCCTACCATTGAAATACGCAATGTTAAACTTTGTATATTAGATAGTAGATGATGATTATTTGCATTTGGTGTTTATACCAAATCAATAAGTACATGACACATGTTATTATAATATACTCTTTTCACTATATACCACTTTTTTTTCCATATATCCTCATGTAATATAAAAATCATTTCATATTTTTATTCTGCTTCTTTCTAATAATTTATGTGCCAATATCTCTGTAATGCATATATAAAAGTTCTCGAAAAAACACTTATGATTACAACAATTATGAATTCCCTAATAAATACAATATAAACAATTAATAAATTAGTTCCTATCTAATCCTACTCAAAATACATGTGAAAAATAATCATACAACAAATTTCATATTATTTTTTTTAAAAAAAAAACAAAATACCTATCTAAAAGGGAACCTTGGAGAAATAATGCAATATTGTCTCAGTGTGATCTTGATATTTACGTCAGGATAAGCTGTCTATATTGTACCCTTCAGGTGCAAGCAACTCTTCTTCGAACCATGTGTAAAGAAGGGATATTTCAGGAACTAAACTATCTTATCTTCTACGAAAAAATGTCTAACCCTCAGCATCTTCATTTACGATACGAAGAACTTGTTTGGGAGGATCATTTCTCCAAATTTGTGGTTTTTTAAAATGATGTCCTAATTGTGCAAATTTATCTGCAGCTCGATTTCCTTCTCTAAAAACATGTGTTACAATACAACTTTTAATTTTAGGAATAAGTAAATTTATACAATTTATTTGTTTTTGCACTTCTACACATCTAACAACTCTTTTTTGTACAATAACTTCAACCAATGACTTAGAATCTCCTTCAAGCCACACTTCTTCCCAACCATTTTCCAATATTAACTCGAGACCTCTAGTTAAAGCTGCTAATTCAGCAATTGTGCTATTAGATTTTCCGATTGATTCAGCATATCCTAATAAAAATTCGGCCTCGTGGTTCCTGAAAATACCTCCAATGCTTGATTTTCCTGTTTTGCATTTGCATGATCCATCAAAATTTAATTTTGTCCATCCTATTTTTGGTTTTTGCCATGATACTGGAATTAAATTTGAACTTTCCTTGTGCCAATTTCTTAGAAGTAATTGAAATGGCTTTTGATGAATCACCCTTTGATATCCCAATATTCTAGAAATATACAACATTTTTTTATTTTTTATTTTTGGTTTTATTGCCTACTTTTTTGAATAATCATTCGGAGGGAAGAAAATGTAAAAACTAAAAAAAATAAAAAATAAAATTAATCTTGGATGAAAAAAATATCTCCATGATAAAAAATTATGTCATGATGAATAAATATTGCAAAATCAAAAGTGATCCTAGTTATGCTTACCCTTTATAGGAGGAAATGAAAATTGTAAAATAAAATCAAAAAGATTAATTTCAAATGAAAAATATAGTCCCATGAGCAAATATTACAGAATTAAAAGTGAACCTAGTTTTGTATACTTTTATATGAAGAAATGAAAACATAAAAAATAAAATCAATTTTTTTTAATCTTGGATAAGAATTATAGTTCTATGAGGAAAAACTCCTTTCATGATAAAACTTATGACCGATGAAGAAAATATTATGGAATGAAAAGTGACCTTAGTTTACAATCAGATGAATGAACCACCGGAGAAGCTTGTGTATGCATGAAAGTTGGTTTAGTTTCTCAAAATTATGAATACAAAGAACATGAGGATGCAATATACATTAAGACATTTAAATTAAGCATGAAAAAAAATAATGAGATCATCTCTTAAACAATAATGAAGATATAAATATGTATTTTTTGCATGGAGGAGTTTGAGTGCAATGAAAGGAAGGTAAATTATTCATTTTTGAGTTATGAAGGCAAGGCAAAGAATTGAACTTTTCTTGAAAGATTTATGAATAAATATTCTATAAATTAAGACCATTATATATATGCAATGGAAAATCAGTCATCATTTAGTGGACTTGTTTAAAACTTACTAGTTACCATTTATATTTAACTGTCAAAAAGAAATAGTTAATGATTCTTAAAAAAGCATCAAGAATATTCATTTTTTGTGTTTATGGTGGTTAAATATATAACCCTAATAAATAGGAGATTTTACACATTATCCATTAATTTTTGTTAAGTTTTCAAGAGTAATATTTTAAAAAGCCTAGATTTGTTTCGAAATTTACGTTTAAAGGACATCGCGATCATTGGTAGAGCTAGCTTGTGGGGAAATGCGTTATTTAAATCCCTTCGATGATAAATTATATGCGTAAAAGAGGTAAATATATATTATATATGTTTGCTATATATAAAATGTTGAATCACCTTAGCATAGGAGAATATTCTAGTTTAGTGATAAAATTGGTTAAAAAATCATGTAACCAAGATTATTGTCGAAATACCAAAATCTCTTACGTGGTGGTATATATATGTGATGTGTCAAGTAGTAATAAAGTTTTAAGTTGTATATCGTCTGTATAAATAATAAATTTCAGATAGACAACCAATCAAACTATTAAAATATCTCTCTTATACACTTATTATATGTTTGTCATATACTGAGAACACACCGACAACAATTACAAACTATTAAGATTATGGGAGTATTTTTTATAGTTAATATATAATCAACGGGTATGATCATTATACACCTCGTTTAACAATAAAAATTGGAGCAGGAGAAGGAGAAATGGGGGAGGGGATTACAAGATGGAGAATCGATCCACACCAACAAGGAGAAAATACATATAGACAACCAATCGAGCTATTAAAATCTCCCTTATATACTTATTATATGTTTGTCATACATTGAATATACACCGACAATAATTACAAACTATTAAGATTTATGAGAGTAATTTTTTTTTTATAAAAAAAACTGGGCCGATTTTTTAACTATACAACTTAACAATTGTATTTACATCAACATAACAATACTTTTTTTTTTCAAAAGTAGAATTTAATTTTAAAAAATAATAAAATTTCCAAATCAGCCATGCTTATCCCGATTCCCATAAATTTCTCCAATAATTTTACCTTCCCTAATTTATTCAAATATGCTATATATTATCTCCCATAAATAGAGGTTTCCTACCAAAACAAAACTCCCTTTCTCTGAGATGAACGACTATCGAACAAATGCATACCAATAATTTCTCAATTCTAATTCAACACAACGGGCGATGGGACTCATCAAGTAATTATATAAAAAATAATTCTCATGGTGTTTTATTACGTGGTTGAATTTGATTTTTCACAAATATCTATTTTGTAATTTTTGGTAGCTATTCGTTTTGTTTAGTTTGTCAATTTTTGTGTAAATTAATTCATACTATTTGGTTGATGTTCTGGATCGTCGAAATTTTGGTGTAATTTCAACAACTTCATATGATTTTGTTGTACACTGATGTATCAAATTTGGTTTTTGTTAAAGTTTAGGTTTAATTGGTATGATGTGTGCCATATGATAGCAAATATTTTATATCAATAAGTTTGTGATATGTATTGTTGTATTTGTTTTGGTATGTGATCTGGTATAATTTTCGTTAATAACTGACACCAAACAAATAGCCTGATGTATGTTTTGGTGTATTGTTTCGTCAAATTTATATTATCTTACATATGAACATACACATATTAAAATGAGTGCAGTAATAAATTATTTGGTGCAATTGGTGGTGTAAAAAACTACAAGTTTGATGATCTATGGTATATAATTAGAACCTCATAAATAAAAATATGGTATATATTTTAGTGTATTTTAAGTATGTGAATTGGTGTAAACAATAATATGAAAAATAGTTCCTACATTTATTGATGGTAACCTGATAAAATCATAAATTTTAAAAATTGGTTTAAGGGTATGTAATATTTGACTGTTGTTTTTTACGTTTATTAAATGGTTAAAATATTGGTAAAATAGTTTGGTATTTCTTTGACGAAGAATTTGTTATTTTAAACAAGCAATTACGTGGATTACAATATTGAAGGAGTTATGTATGATCCAACCACCAAATACGAAGACTTGATTAAATACAAAAATTAAATGTTTTGTTATGTATGTAATTTAAAAACTTAGTTTGTAATTAAATATAAGTAAATTGATATTTTGTTAATAAAGTCTTAAGTAGTATATTTTTATAATTTTCCCAAAAAAACTAGCTAAAATTGTTGTTAAGATCCCAAAAACTTTGTGACAAACTTGTATAAGATTGGGCTTTTATAGATCATTGTATAGCCCACTATATGAACGAAATGCCTTTGGACTCAATTATGTGGATCGTATTGAATAAAAAATCTCTTTTTCGGGGCATAAATTTATATTTTCGTATCATA